ATTATTATTATTATTATTACTAAGTCACTTGTAGAGACAGTTGTATAATTTAATTGTTAATATTATAAATATTTCATTTAACATATGCAGTAATAATGCGAATGTCTATTAAATCCAAAGTTTCAAGTAAATTAAAGTGAGTGAGAAATATGTAATGTACATATTAAATGAGGCATATTTTTCATTAATAATTAATAAATATATAATGAAGTGTAATCATGAAATTTGTCGCAAATTTTCCAATGAATATGATATTATATTGAATACTTGAAAATTATATTTGAAATGCATAAAATCGGGGAACACATTATCGATTTATCAATCATCAAACGTTCAATAGCTCCAGCTTTCCATAACAAAATTGTATAGTTCAAGTTTCCATTTAATGTAATAGTAATGCTTGGAAAAGGAAAAAAAAAGAGAAAAAAAAATAAATAAACAGAAATCGTAATAATAGACATCTAAAAATGTGAAAAATATTTTAAAAAGTAGGCAATACAATTTGTGGAAGAGTTTAACAATCGCTCTTAAAAATTGGTGAAAAACGTTTTCCTTGCCAACTCTCGACTAATATGTTCAAGTTAATGGCTTCGATAAAGTGTTCGTAGTGTAGCTTTAAGCTATAATACGAATAATTTAGATTCGCATGGTCTGGTGAGTGTGGTATCGGTATAATCTATGAATGAGCCATAGGAGGCCAATGGAAATAAACGATTAATTTAACGTCTATGTTTATAAAAAGAAAAAACAAAACAAAAAAAAAAAACAAACAAAATAAAAAAAAAACAAAAAATCAGTCAGAGTCCGTCCGGCGCTTCGTAAATCGTTAATTAAGCACGAAGCTTTCAGGCGCATAAGTGAATTGGTGCTTAATTTTCGGCACTTATCGGGGATACGATAAGAGCTACAATTTGCGATGCTCTTATAAATCTTGTGAAAAGGAATGCTGGCCGTTAAAATTTCACTGTCCGTCATTTGGCATTTGGCAAGGGACGCGAACATTACGCAGTCCGCGACTTAACGTTTATTCGTTTATCTACAGCTACAGATTGATACGGGCGAATCGTCGATAGGAAGGATCCTAAAATTGAATATCCTAATGGAAAGCGAATCGTGTGTGCATTACAGAGATCGCGCGCGCGTTTAATGTATATTCGATCGGCGTGATCTAAACGAAGCTTTATTAAAACAAAGGAGATATTGGGCTTATGCAATAATAATAATAATAATAATAATAATAATAATAATAATAATAATAATAATAATAATAATAGATTGATTAGCCCGGGGTTTCGAGCGAGGAGGATATTAATCGCGGCAAAGGATCCTGCCTCGCGATACCGATTAAGTATTTCGTAGAAATCGGACGATCGGCGGAGGAGAGAAGAAGACCGATCCCGCCGACGTCTACAGAGCAACGCCAGAGCAACGCCAGAGCAACGCCAGAGCAACGCCAGAGCATTGGCGTGTGTGGGTTTGCGGAATCGTGACGTCATGAGCTCGCCTCGTAAACATACGCGCGCGCATATTGACACAGCACCGGGCGTCGAGAGATTATATATAGGCGATCGTCACCTCGCGTGCTTCAGTTGCCGCGGAATTCGACTTGGAGTGATCTCGGTTTTGCACACGGATAGACGTATAGCGCGCGCGCGCGTGCATGTATACGTGCATTGGCAGCTTCCTTCCTTTTGCCGGTCGTGTAAAGTTTGTTATTTGCGCGTGAGGAGGAGGAGGAGGAGGAGGAGGCCACGATCGAAGTTACGGTTAGCCGATGTGATGAGCTAAATTTTCTTGGGTCTTTGCACCTCTGACGCCTCCCAAGTGCCTTATTTATTTATTCAACCACCAGTGTACGTATTTTGTTGACAATTGTATTTCAACTTTAATTGGATATCAGGCGTGGGTGTTTATATTTGTCGTAATAGTAAGTCGATTGATTTAGTCGATTTCATTTGTTGTTGCTGCTGTTGCGATGTAAATTATCCGTGCATTTACGTATTCGTTTACGCGACACGGTGAGATGAGTAATTACACGTACTTAAATGTAATCGAGCATTCGAGAAAGGCGGCAATGCTACGAGCGGTGAATGCACTTGTATTGTTTTTTGTTGTTTTTTTTGTTTTTGTTGTTGTTTTTGTTGTTGTTTTTGTTGTTGTTTTTGTTTTCATTTTGTTACATTATTTATTATCGCATGATACTATTCAGTCGGTTTTATTAATTTATCAACGAGACGGCTCTTATCTCACCCGTGCAAAAATATACTTACGTAGGTATGCATTTGTTATTAGGGTGGCCGGATAATGTTCCTTTAATAATATCCTCTTTTACGTACAAGGCATTATCGCACTGAAATTTCGTTAAACGAGGAATTCTTATAATAATCATAAAGTAAAGGATTCGTTATTAATTGGGCAACGAGAGACGAAAGAAAGATCCAGCCAGCCAGCCTTATTATAATTAGACTTAGGTTCAATGTTCCTTTATGAGTCTGAATGGATTAATTAATATAACTTAACAATATCACTTTACGAGCACGTATATGAGAATCTATTGTCAGATATTTTTCCAAAGAACATAAGAAATTGAGTAATAGCATTGGCAGAATAATGTTCAAGTATTGTAATCAATTGCATTTTCTAGATAAAGAGGCAAATGTGACTTTATTTATTATTGTAATATTAATTACTTTGTAATGCGTTTGAGCCGTCTTTGTACGCCAAAAACCTTGGAAATACGTTTGTTATTTTATAAAATTAGTTAAGAATAGTAATTCACCTCTCAGCGCTAACGTGTTCCACGTTCAATGATTTAGCGTTATATGAAAACTGACAGTAATTGTATTTTTCAATTAATTTTTGAACCATCTAAAAAATATTCCAATTATGACAATGTTTTTATGGTAGTATCCGCACGAGATATCATTATTGCGCAAAGTAAAATTAAAAAATCACGTTTGTTAATTAAAGTTTAAGCATGGAACAATGTGGGAAATGATTTGTAATTTGCCAGTAATATCAGCATGATTTACCTTATGTAGGTAAGCCTTTTCGAAATTTTGATTATTTTTTTTTTTTTTTTTTTTTTTTTTTTTTTTTTTTTGGTCAAGTTTTTAATTGTAAACGATTGGCAGATGAGTACTGACAATATGACTATTATTATTATTGAAAGATATTTTTATTGTCCATAATCGATTAGATACTCAAAAATACAAAAATACAAAAAAAAAAAAACAAAAAAAAAAACAAAAAAAAAACAAAAATTTTTGATTGTATTTTAAATATTAAATTATATAAGAGAAAAATTTTGATATTGATTGGGAGCTCTTAAATATTTTAAAGTTAAACGTCGAGTAAAATTGTTGAACATAATTCGACTAAAATTAATTTTCTTATCTATCCAATATGATTTTTCTAAAAATTAGATATACGAAGCAAATGATTACTCATCCGAATTAACAATCATTATGGATGCATGAAAAATCGATTATAAATGTCGTGCTACGAACGTCGAACGGTAATTACGCCTAAAAAGAAAACAAAAGAAAAAGAAAACGTTTCGGCGCTTAACGATTTAACGAATAAATTAATTAATCCAGAAAATTTTACTAAAACTTTGCATCTTTATCGTTGCTAATCGCGTGCTAATAATGTACTAAAACAATATATAACAACCATGCAACACTCGTTTATCATCCGATCATTGCGAAACTTGCGAATATTCCCGATAATGTTTTATGTGTATATAATGCAACGAACTACATAGTTTGCGCTTCAAGCTGGAATATACAAACAAGTAGAATAATATTTTTACGACGCCTACTCGGATGAATAATGTAAGACAATCATCGATATCGCAAGATAGACAAGATTTTTGAATAAATCGTAATATCATCCATCATACATATAGTTTCAAAGCCTCACTTATTTACGTTTATATTTGGCTACATACATTGTTTAATATAATTGACCGTATCTCGTCTCAGCTCGATTTATTATAAATATAATAATATTATATATTATTCATTGTATTTTTATAAATACATATTTATGTATATTGTTATTAGAATAAAATTTTATATTGTTTTCAGCCTCACTTAAACGTCAATGTTAAAATGTATTACGGCTAATATCTCTCGCTGCCGCCAACATGTTCAATGCTTATAGACTTTTTGCTGCTTGCGCACCTCATTGTCTTTGCGATTGTAATTTAATTAATCAACTGTATCGATAATTACACGAATATAATTCGCATGTCTTTTACGGACACCCGTCGCCTACAAACGGCCTGTAAAATTTACTAGACTGTAAAAATTCTAAGGGTAAAAGTAACTTAGGTAATGGAGTACAATAGCCGAGATTCGGACAAACGTACATCGAGATTATGGATAAAGGAAATAAAATAAAAGAAAATTTCGGCGCATTAGGTATACGTATTGTTTACAGTGAGTCGCGAGGCCTACGCTGCATACATTATCAACCTTAATCATGACGATGGTGATAAGGCGAGGCTGGCGCGTGATAAAGGGCAGGAACGTAAGATAAATAAATACTCGATAAATAAAGCTCTTCGTACATGAATATGAGAATTTCGTCCCCGTTAAAGTAGGTGTAAATAGGAAAATGACAGCGATGCACTCTTCGTAGTACACGAATGCGATAGTGATGGATGGCCGGGAAATTGTAAGCGCGTTTAGCCGAGTCCAAATAAAAGAGCATCAACAAGTGCGATGTTTATTGTTGTTGTAACAAATCGGAAACCATCGATACGGACTTGGTTGGTAGCGTACCGCGTAGGGCGAAAGGACACAGCTCGGCCGTCTCGACCCGTGGACCCAACCCGTTATAAAAAGAATAAACAATATAAATAATACACCGAGAGAGAGAGAGAGAGAGAGAGAGAGAGAGAGAGAGAGATAGCGGGCGCGTGTACGTGGGTCGGTCGAGTGTGTCGACGGGAGGGAGGGAGGATGAGGTGGGAGTGTGGGTGGGAAGGAGGATCGCGAGTGGGGTGAGAGTCGGTGTCCCCTTCCCTGTCCTCGGGCCGGTCGGGTCGGTACTGCTCGTGCGCTCGGGGGACTCTTTCCTCCAGTCTCTCAGTACGGGCGGCAGTCGGGAGGGAAATTGTCAGTCGCGGCACACGAGCTCAACTACGTCGTCGTCGACTTGGGCTTGGAGTCGGCGGCCGACTTCGATCCGTTAAACTGGCCCGTCCGGCTTAAAGGAAGTGGAAGCACGTAAGTTACGCGGCCAAAGTGCTTCTTCCGCATTATCTGTATCGTAGGAGCTATTCGATCGAACCCCCGTCACTCCTCCCCATCACCATCCCCATACCCCTCGTAACGACTACTTCCTTACGCGCTTACACACGCGACTTTCTTTCTATTATTCGTCCCTCGCGGCCCGCTCGCAGCCAACCTACTTATTCATCTTATTTTCGCGGTGCTCGCGTTAAACGCTGCGTACAACATTTGCGCGCTCGACTCCTTTCGGCCTCTCACTTTTTCATATACTCAATGAAATCGAGCCAGAGCGAATTGCACGCGCGATCCTGCGCGCTTCTCACTCTCTCTCTCTCTCTCTCTCTCTCTCTCTCTCTCTCTCTACGTGC